GGCAGTGGGGGCTCTTCTGAGCTTGGTGGGTTGTTAGTGCTGCCCAGTGAAGGACCCTGATGCCCTGTGTCTTTATCCAGGTGGAAAGGAGATTATGGGACCAGAATCCAGCAGTACTTCCCGTCTAACTATGTCGAGGACATTTCAACCGCCGATGTTGAGGAGCTGGAGAAGCAGGTGCGTCTCCATCATCCACCACCTTCCCGGAAGGGAGGATCTGGGGGGTCTTGTTTTTTAGGGAGTCTCCTGCTCTGCCTCAGTGGATGGAATTTACCTGTGCTCCCTCTGGAGCTCCAGAACAGGGAAGACAGAGGGATATGGAGATCGGGATTGTCCCCTAGCTGCTGTGGGTGAAAGTCTCTGTGACAAGCTAGTCATGTTTTAATCAGGTTGTGCTGGCCTGCAGGACTTTGAATATGCAGAGAATTCCCACTGGAGTGAAAGTGGCCAAGTGGGGAATTTGTCCTTTGCTTAAAGCAGCTTGCAAATGAAACACATTTATTTTGGACAGCCAGACGTTCAGAACGTGCTTGGGGTGAGTAAGCGAGTGGGCCTAACCGGAAGGGGAGATGAAACCTTCCCAGTGACTTTGCAAATCTAGTTTTTTTTTTTTTACCCCAGCCATCTCTTTTCCAGAAGTCTCAGGGAGCAGCCACTTTTTAACTTTTTTTTGCAGTTTTTGGCCGGGGCTGGGTTTGAACCCACCACCTCCGGCATATGGGGCCAGCGCCCTACTCCTTTGAGCTACAGATGCCACCCAGGGAACAGCCACTTTTCAGCAGGACAGCACTGCACCCAGGATGACACCTTTGTAATGAGGACTTTAAGGTCCTGTGAGGGCCCAAAGCATTTGTTTTTTAAGGGAGATAGGGTTATTTGGGAAGGCTTCCTGGAGGAAGGGGCATTTGAGACTTTTTAAAAGTCAAATTAAAACTCAACACCAAGAGACTGGCAGAAGGGACTTCCAGAAGGCAGGTACAGTTAGTAAAGGTGTGGTGGTTGGAATGTGGTTGGGTTCCGTGTGGTCCAGCTGAGGCAAGATGTGACCCCATTGTGTGTATGTATAGCACTGCCCTTGGCTGCACAATCAGCATTAGCCTGGTGGAGAAGGGGTGGATGGTACCAACAGTAGATGAACACCTGGTCCTGCCCGCTCTCCTGAGACTAAGATATTCTCCATCTCAGCTGGACGCTGGGATGGTTCAAGTATACCGATGGGACGTGGAGCTGGGAAAGCCGAATAGGGCTCTGAAGGCCATAGGAGCCAGAGCGTAGAGCATGAATGTTGCTTCCATAGAACATGGGAAGCCACAGAGGGTTCTTGAGCTGGGCGGTAGTAGGCCAAATAGTGGCCCCTGTGTCAGATAAAGGGTCTGGGAGGCGTTGTGAAGCCAAATCCAAGGAGGAAGAATCTTGAAGCCTGTTCGAGAATTTTACAAGGCATGTTTTCATGGATTGGAAAATGAAACTCTGAACTCCTGTCACCTGCTCACCGCCAGGTCCCTATCAGTCCTGGCTTTGTTATTGAGCTCTTGCCCTGTGGACGTATCCTGTAATGAAAATGCATTTTAAACAGGCAGCGTCTCTCCTAAATGGTGTGCTTCGGAAACTGGTTGTCTTTTTATTCTTCTCATTACAACTAATGTGAGTTATGTCTTGTTTCTTCACAGATTATTGAAGACAATCCCTTAGGGTCTCTTTGCAGAGGAATATTGGACCTCAATACCTATAACGTTGGTACGTGCGCGCATCTTCCTAGCCTGGATTTCTGCCCAAAGCCCCCACCTCGGACCTGCCCCCAGCAGGGAGGCGGACGACACTCTGTCCCGCCTAGCCTTTATCTCTGATGCAGCCCCTTCCCTGGCCGAGCTGAGTATTTGGATCAGACTGGTCAGTGAGTGCAATGTTGTGTCTGTATTACCTGCTAAGTGTAAGCATAATAAGAGTCTGGTACGCGATAGTGCGGGATGGTGGTTGGCTGTTGTTCTCACCAGCATCACTAGTTTTATTCTGGGGCCTGCCTGTGTTTCCCATGTATTTTGAAGAAGAGTTGAGCTGTTGGGCCAGCTGCGATGGAGCGTGGAGTTGGGCGTCCTGGGTCCTCAGCTCAGCTCTGCCACTCCGTGGGCCTGCCACTTGTCCTCTCTGAACCTCAGCTTGCTGGCTGCTCAGCTGGGGATCAGGAAACCTGGTCTGTCCCATGTTGGAGTTTGCTGCAGTGGGGGAATGAAGACCTTGCCTTGAGCATGGGGCATCCAGGGGTGGCAGGGCTGGGGCTATAGCTGGCCTTCCTGGCCTGTACCTGCCACATGGGCATGTTGCAGTTTGCTCCCCTGAACGGCTGCTGCGTCTGTAGCAGGCCCCCTGTTCCCTGCCACAGCCCTTCAGTTTACTCGCCTGGGCTCACTACTCCCAGACTGTCTCTGGGGAGTCCTGTGCTGGATCCCTGGGGCCTCAAATAACAGCGGTCCTAGGAACTTCCTGCCTCTACTGCCTCTCAGCTTTCGGCCCTTCCAGTAATCATTTTCCCTACAACTCTCCAGTGGGATGGGGGCAGGGTCTTTGCTCCAATTGACAG